TTTCCCTACTCTCCCTCTCTCTCAAAATTCAAAAGAAACCATTTTTAGGCTAACTTACGGCTAAGATTGGAATATATATATATATATATATATATGATATCAGAGCTAACTATTTTGGATGCTGTGTTTGGGCAGTCTGGCCCATTCGGAGTTGTCATCTGTGTTCTACGAGAAGGTCCTCCTCCTCGCTTGGGGGTACGTACAAAAGTTTTTTCCTTGGGACTATTTGTTGACATACAAATCAAAATGAAGAAAGAGTCAATAACGAAATATATTAACAGATTCAACAACGTGATAATACTGGTGGTGGGGATAATAGTGTTCATATTTGCGACGGTGGGAGTGTTGCTGGTGATGGAGACGCTGAGCGCGTTCCTCCACGCCCTTCGTCTGCACTGGGTGGAGTTCCAGAACAAGTTCTACGAGGGCGATGGCTACAAATTCTCTCCTTTCTCCTTCGCCCTCGTCTCCTCCGAAGACGACTGCTGATGGTCCCTCCTCCTCCCGTGTGCATAAAAGGTATGGACCGACTTCCTCCTATTTTAAAAAAACAAAAAATATTTGGATATTATTTTTCAAAACCAAATAAATTATCGGAGATGAGGCCAGTCAAGCCCCATTTGTCTTTGTTTTTCTTTTTGTGTTTGGTTAAGAAAATAATAAATAAGTAAATCGCCGTCTAAACGTTTCATTCGTTTGTCTTGCGCTTGGTATTCTTTGGGCGAAGCGAATCCCCCTAATATTTATCAATCCGTTTTTGTTATTGCTACGGGAACTCTTATGGTTGTCTGGTGCACACATGTATATGTATGTACATGTATGATGATGATGAGCTGCTTCAGATTCCAGCCCGACATCAATAATGAATCTGAAAGGGGCCTGGAATCTATGTGAGACTAGCCTTTTCCAAAACACATTGGGCATAATAATGTTAGGCCCAAATTTTGTTCATATCATTTGTGCCGATAGAAACCCATTGGGCTTACAATTCTATCAAAATGCTGGGAAAAACAAGTGCTACTATTGGGGAAGATCAAGTGCTACAAGTAACCAACGCATAAAATCTGGGGATCCACATAGCTTTTACCTAAATCCACGCTATGGATAAAATCATTAACAGCGCGTGCACTCAAGAAACAACCGAGCTCTCTTAAACCCCATTTGTCCTAAAAAAAAAAAAAAGAAAGAAAAGAGGATGGGATATTACAAAACGACCAGAGGGACACACCCCCACCACCAACCAAACTCAATCTTACCCTGAGATCCCTCCCTCCACACCCCTAAAAACAGTCTGTTATGCATATATAAAAAATATATATATATTCATTTTTGCTTGAAATGAATATATATTTTTAAGAATAGATTCTTGATACAATATTTAAACTTATATATAAAAATATATATAAGTTTAAATATTGTATCAAGAATCTATTCTTACATTTAAACTTCCAGTTCTATATAATTAGCTTCGTTTTTGTCCTAATAGTATGCAGATTCGTTTTACCTTTATATAAAAACGACAAAAAATGAAAACGAAAGAACGTCATTAAAAAAAAAAAAAGGAAACGGACGAACAGGAAAAAGGACCAGGCCCAATAATGTCAATTTAGTGAATTTGGACTCATCGAAGATGACCCATTGTTGCATCTTTTGTGGAGATTGGCCCAGTCTAAGTGCGTAACGCGCTCATTTGGCGCGTTATTGAAACGCGCTCAATTTTTGTGGACTTATCCGGCGAAACTGCCAAATTTTCGCTAAACTTAGGACTCGGTACATCTTCTGCCGTGGGAGAAGTCCTCAAATTACACATTCCCAGTTTTAGTGCGTAACGCGCTCAGTTGGCGCGTTGACGAAACGCGCTCAATTTCTGCGGGGACAATATAGTCCAGCGGATTCTGTCAAATTTCGCTAAACTTAGGAGTTGGCACATCTGTCTCGCGTGGGCAAAGTTTTTTCAAACAATATTCCCTTCCTTTCTTTTTCTTCCGTGTTTATGCCTAATATTAATTAAAAACAAATTACAACTGGGGATTTTATTTTTTATTTACAAAAATAATTTCATATACTTCTTTCATGGGTCACATCGCTCGATCCATTCTAGGGAAAATAGCAAAAAAAAGATACATATTTCGGCAAAAAAAATCAATAATTAGTAGATTTACATAATTAGTATCAATTATTAAATTTTATAAAAAAAAAGAAACTTTTAATAAAAATAATAATTATATAAAAGTTTCTCTTAGAAATAGAAGAAAATATCGAATTCAATTATTTCCATTAAAAAGTTAGAAAATATTTTATTTTTTTAGATTGATGGATCAGCAAAAATGCTGAGACGATTACATATAATGAACAAAACATTCGATATAACCTGATAATATAGATCATAGAATCTATACAAGACATCTAAAAATGTATAAAAAAAAAAGTTATCATATGATCGTAACGTATCAAATACATATTTTTTATATTAAATTCATATATCTGTTTCATTATTTTCTCAAAAAGTGAATAATATGGATAACATTTAATTCATTTTACTTTAAACAAAAAATAATCATTTTAAAATATGTTTACCAAATCCGAAACTCGACCTTATAGACTTCAGATTTAGATTCAAACGGACTGACCATTAAAATTTGTTCTTTCTAATTTATTTTTCTGATAAATTTCTTTTTGAAAAAAAAAAACGGGCTTACGGACCGCCCTGAAATCCAATCTGAATCCGTTCTGAAAACATAAAATTTTTTTGACATAAATATTTCGATCGGAAACCCGCTATTTTTAAATAGGATCGGTTTCGAACCAAAATTGACACCGTTAGACATTGTAAATTAAATTGAAGTGAGAGCGTGTGGGCGTGACTGGCCCATGGAGTGATAAGTGCGTGTGAGTGTGTCCAGATAATTGAGCCAATATAATACACACAGAACCCAATAGTATGGTTGTAAACAGAAAGAGCCCGTTTAAAGCCCAAATGAATAGGCCTGACAAGGCCCATATGACGATTTGCCTCGTGAAATGGATGGACACGAGATGCTCCAATTTTTTTTTTTATATACAAAATAACTTAAAAGGGACCCACACAAATCAACAACGATGGTGGTGGGTGTCTTCTCTTCTCTTACGCTTAGAGGGAAACAGAAGCAGCAACGGTGGAGACGAGGCTGTCAACACCACAGATGTTACGGCCTCTGCAAATCTTATAGAAACCCTTCTCTCCCCAATTCTCTCCCCACGAGTTCTTTATGATCCAAAAAGGTTTCTCCTTCATCCTGGCTGGTGCGTACCCAGCCGACCCGTACCCCACCAACAGCACCCCATGGTTCAGCCTCCTCGAGCATATGTATGGGCATGACACTCCCCCTATGTACGTCTGCATGTATGCTGCGTTTATAGCCACTGTTTCCACACCCCAAAACCCATTTCTCTCAGTTTAGTTTCATCACGGAATTCGATATAATTCGGAGGGGGGAAAGGGACGACTTGACTTACCTGCTAATGGGCCGTTTTTCACAAGGTTTGCGGCTATCTGGTCTTCATTCACTGACACAACACTGAAGTTGGCCACAGAAGCAACAACCTTGGACTTGTCAAACTTGCAGGTTCCGCTTTCGGTCCCAGCATAGGGATAGTCTTCCTCCCGCATGAGCCCTCCAGCTTTCAGCGTGTACTCAAAGGCGCTGTTCATTAGGCCACCGTTGCATCCTGAGTCGCATGAACCTGCCTCCTCTGGATCACACTGCAAAATAGAGAAACACTCTTCACATGCTTCTGATATAGTAACACCAAGTTTTAAGATGCAAATAACTACTTAAGGGATCAGAGACAGCTTCAAATCTGAGATTGAAATAAAAATTATCCATCACCATCAACTCAGGATCCACCACAGTTAAATCAGGATCATGATGCGTATGAGCATTCGGTGTATTTTGTTTCACACTTTGGTAAATCTATATACGACAGGCAATAACAAAAGCATGATAGCAATTGATAGTATGGTCATAACAAGCTCATGATACTTGCAAGAGACAAATGATTGAATCGAAGAGAAAACAAAGTCAAACCTCGTGATCACAATCGACAAGCTGTTGTTCACTGAGGCTGACCAGTTCCCCAGTTGAAAGGAAGTGTGCGCCTTCCAGGGCTCCCGTGGTGCTAAAACTCCAGCAGGATCCGCAAGAACCCTAATGACCAACACGAATGACAGGAATCAATATCCATGATACATTTTCAACAATTTACATGATCGCCGAACGGGATAAAACCCTAGATTGCTATTTCGCCTTGACAGGTAAAACTCATGTACAACAATTCCTATATCGCAACCACATCGTCGCATTGGGCGATCAAGACAAAATACCTGATTTTTTACGGGGGTGACAGCTCCGTGATCTCTCCAATCAAAATCCTCGGGGAGCTTGTCCGTAGGCAGGATCGGAGCCTGGTTCGCATCCTTCGGAAGCTTAAATCCGCCTTTAACCCCCAAAAACCTCCTCCGGAACTCCGACGGAGTCAGATCGGAGAACTGCGTGACGCCATGTTGCGCCGACGGATCCAGCTTCTGGTGGCGCTTAGCTCGCAGGAGATTCGCCCTAAAAACGGAGAACCTGTAATCGTGCTCCTCTCGCGATCCGTAAACCTTCCCAAATTTCCTCTTGAACAGAGAAAAGTGATCCTCAGACGACAAAACCTTGGGCTTCGTTTCATCAACCACCTGTCGGATCAAGATATCCTCGCCGTCGGACGCATCGGACGCCGAAGAAATGACGACGAACAAGAAGAGAACAAACACGGAGAAAACAAACGTACGATCCATGGATTTCGATCTGTGGGAAAAGGCAACGAAGGAAGGGAGATATATACGGAACCCTGGGAGGGGGGGTGGCAATGCGTATGTAAACACGCAACGTCAATGAATGTATAGGTGCTTGTATCGAATCAAAAGCTTTTCGAGAGGAGAGGAGGACGGTTTCTTTGAATAAAAGGTACAAGAAAGGGGCCGAAAGGGGAGGGCATTTTGGGTATTTCACGGACTTAGTGGGGTTTGCTTGAGGGGAGGGGAAGAATCGACCCAATGAGAATGCGACACGTGACAAGGGTGGAGTGTATGGCTATATTTAGCCATAAAAAAGTAAATGTGGGATTAATATTTGTTGTTTCTTAGACCTTTAGTTAAGAGTTTTGCTGTTTGGATAAGTTCAACTTGTATGGAGAAGAACGTGCCGTGTTGGAGAAAGAGAAATTAGTTCTGTCTTTTTTTTTTTAATTGGGGTATATATATCGGGATAAGGTGGAGTATTTGTTAACAATCAAAATATTATCAATTGATGATGATGACAAAACTGGGCGTTAGAAATATCTCAAAGCTTAACTTGAACCATTGGTGGGATCCGCAGTTGGATAATTGGAACTGCTTCTATTATTGGATCCACATACATTACCTAAATCCACGCTATGGATAAAATCATTAACAGCACCTGCACTCAAGAAACAACCGAGCTCTCTCTTAAACCCCATTTGTCCTAAAAAAAAAGAGGATGGGATATTACAAAACGACCAGAGGGACACGACATATGACCACCACCAAACTCAATCTTTACCCTGAGATCCCTCCCTCCACACCCCTAAGAACACAGTCTGTTAATACATATATAAAACACGCCCATACCTAATAAAAGCTTCGACTGCTTGTCTCCTTTGCCCCGATTCTCTCCAGTGTCCTCCTCTCGTCACTTGGTTTGGGTTGGGCTGGCTACCTCCGGCGCCTTTTTGTATCCACCTGCTACATCGCCAACACAACTTCTTTGTTTAAATATCGCTGTGTGCGTGAAACCATTTGTACCTACACTATTCAGGTGTATTCTATTCTACCGTAGCCAAGACTTTTTAAGAAGATGCCAAAACCAACCTCTCTTTCTTCTTCTAAATAGAACAGCGGTTAACAAAGTTGGTCTTTCTTAGGAATGTGAATATACCACCAAGTACAACTCAAAAGGAGAGTCATGGAGTGCACGAATATGCGGCAGGACATCACTGAGAGAGAGTTTTACCCTCAGAAGAAATCCCGTAAGAAAATGAGCAGACGAGGGATACAAACACTCAATAGTCCCAATATCCCGGCAAAGAAGAAAACTTAGAGCCAAAATGAGATCCAAATGATTCATGGAAATGGAAATACCTTAGTGTCTGAGCTTTTAGTAGCGGAATGCGAGTTCTGCAACTTCTGCTGCTGCGAGGAACAATCTTCACAGAAGAAGTGATCCAGCTTTTTAGCTTTCTCCACCGTCATTTCTATACAAGAAGGATGAAACCTGAACCAATATCAGTTGGCCGAAGATTCACTCCAAAGATCTTATTACATTTTTTCTTCTCTTTTTTTTGCAGGGAATTGACTCAAACCAAGGGTATTAAACGAGCCATCTCTGCAAAAATAAAAATACAAATATGTGCAGGCTCATACTCTAGGATCACAAACATGAGATTCTGAGCTTCAATATAGTGCACTGAAGTTAGCAACCCGGCGCAAGTTCTACGCTTGACATACTACAGCACACTAGATAAACGGGAAAGGCTACTCGAAACAAATATAATACTTATGGGCTTTCCCATCTAGACAAGAATCATCACAAATGAAAACCCAGCCAGTTTCGCAAGTGTTTTAACTTTTACTTGAAGAAAGCCGCGAAAACCTATTAGCCAGAAGCTTACTTCACTCCCTTCCAAGCCGAAATCTACCATTCACTTACAAGAATTTCAGGGTACAGAAGGGTAGCACCACTTTCAACAACATATATTATGGGAAGTCATATACAGTGAGCATGTTCATACAGATCTGAGAATCAGAAGAGCTAAAAATAACATCCATTTGTTCCAAAGCTCGGTTATCCATTACAATGGCTGCATATTCCACAGAAGATTAGAGAAGCCACGAGAATATCACAGGAAATGATTGAAAAAGCAAGATGGCAACTGGAAGTACATGCATGGAATAGAACATAAAGGCAGCTACAGGCTGTCCAAGATTAGTTAAGGGTATCAACGCTTACCACTCAGAGCAACTCTCGCATTGCACCATCAAGTCATCAGGGTTGTACGGCATTTCACACTTGCAGAACCTGCAAAACCAACCAAATGAGAAACATTCTACGGAACCAAGAACAAGCGATACAGATCGCAACTGAAAGAAAATAACTAAGCATCCCAAAATCTGAAACTTGAACAATAAACTTTTGCCAAAATTGACCAGTTGAAAAACAGTTTCACCGTTTCATAAATTTCCTAACCACTAAACTTACCAACTATGACCAAACTTATTACGTTACCTTGAAGAAAGAATCCCACGAATCCATGAAAATAAAATTTACAATAAAAATCACCAGCAAGGTCCTTCCATAGCACAATCAATGCCTTCCCTTACACACCAAGCAACATATAGCAACCTAAAAAGTAAAATCTCAGATTGCAACCCGAAAAAATCAATATTTTTTCTGAATTGACAAAAGCAGGCAAATTGCTTGTCCAAGGCTTTCACATCACCGGGGACAAGAATAGTTCGTTGACAATAGAGTTCACAAATGGAGCCAAAGGATGAAAAGAATTTTCATGAGGTGGCTTAAACCGCACGAAATAGGGTAAATTCAAGGCGCCATTATCCAATCAACCATGCACGAAAACATGCTAAAGTGACGCGGAGAAGGTGCAAGTTCGAAGAGAATCAATCCAAACAGAGAATCTCGGAGAGACATACACAGCAACTCGGTCGGGGTTAAAGGCGCCGGTGGAGGAGTTGTACTCGAAACGACAGAAGAAGTCCTCGTTCCCGACAGCGTCAAGCTTCGTGTAACTCTTGAAACTGTGGACCGTACACTTCCCCTCGATCGTGTCGGCGCTCTGGACGTCGTAGTGGTCGGAGAGAAACACCTCCTTGGATCCATGGAATTGCCTCCTCCCTCCGATAGATTCCTCGGGACGGTAATACCATCTCACGCGCACCTTAGCGTTCGCCCCACGCGCGTCCGTCTCGATCGCCTCGATCCTCGCTACGTACGACGGCTTCCCCGGCTCCGACGGCCGCATCAGCACGCAATCTCCCTCTGATCACCAAAACCACAAAACGCGTCCTCGTTAAAGTTCCCAGTGTCGGATACGCCGAAACCTCCGTCGATTTCTGTCAGTTTTCACGGAAGGCGAGAAAATATTTACAGAATTTTCGGAGAGAAAGAGAAGCAGCGTACCTTCGATGGTTTTGTTGATGTGTTTGAGCTTATAGGACTCGACTTGCTTCCTTAGAGCCTTTTGCCTGGGCATCTGAAGCAGTGGGAGAGAAAATCAACACAATTTTCTCGGGAAAGTGAGGGAAAAACTTACGACTAAGCAAGAATATAGTGATTTTTTACAAGGGGAAATCCTGAAATAAAAATTATAATAACATCATGGTTTACCCAGTTTTCTCTGGTATCCTTTTTTACATTTTAGCCCTCTCATTTTGATTTCTGATTCAATTTAGACCTCAAAGATAAGAGTCACGTGAAATGACAACGACATCTATGGAAGAATGCGTGACTTACTCCAGTTATTACTTTACGAGGGTATGCATCATTTGATATTTCGTAAGAAAATATAAAATAGACGCGCCAATTCTGTAATTTCTTGAAAAAGTGATAAAGACAATTCAGTTATAGTAATGGCATTTATGATACAAAAATCAAATAAATACCCTTCAATGTATGGCAATAGTAAGTCAATGGTAGAGAAAATCACACAACTCTGAAACCTCATGGGAGCAAAATACTCTCTGGGATCAAATTGAAAAGCCGGGAAGAATACGAGGACCCTTAGTGATAAAAGAAAAATTTTCATGGCATACATTACAATGGCTGAGCTGCAATTCCACGCGACGCGGACCACGGGAAGAATAAGCCACTACGATCAAGGTATGGCGTGTGATTGGGGAAGAAGGGTGTGATCGTAAATAGGGAGAAGACGGAGGGGCATTTCGCAACGAGAAAAAGGAGACAGAGAATGTCAGATAGACAAGTGTCCACGTCAGCTTTAAAGCAGCTCTGCCGTCCGGTGAGGATCACCACTTTGTCGTGAAACAGGTGATTTTCCTGATGCTGCCACGTAAGCATAAACCCATCCGAAGGCATCCGAAGCCATTGCTATTCTAACTATTTTACACAAGAAAGAGACATGGTTTGAAGACGAACTCGTCAAGGTTTGAACTTAACAAAGGGACAAAATTGGTTATATGTGCGAGTAGAAAAGACTGACCTGATGAAAGAACATGGTATCATGACTGGAACCATCTCCTGACTGCCCGGAACTGTTGTTCGATGCGCCTGTTTTGCTGCAACTCTGCGAGAATTTAGACCGATACTGCTCTGTCAACATATCGAGCTTGTCCACAATATCGCCCCCGGCTCTCTCGTTCTTCTTCTTCTTCTGTTTCTTCCTTTTGTTCTGCCCCTTTGAACTCCCTTCGTTTCTTTCTTCCCGGGTTTTGTCTCCTACCTTCCTCTTTCTCGCTTGACTGTTTAGATCTTCGGAACTCTTTGATGGCTTTTCAGTTCTGTCCTGCCGATGCCCGAGTTTTTGTTTCTGGTTTTTTGACCATCTGGTTTATTGTTCGAAGGCGGGTTATCGGTCTTTTCTTGAGGACGTGCTTGCTTCTTCTTCCTCTCGTGGCCAACTGCACCGTCTCTAACTGCTCCCAGTGTCTTCGACTGGTTTTGCAGATTCTTTAGCCTCTTCTCCAATAGATGCAGGAAAATGCCTCTTTTATTTCACTAGCTTTAGCCTGCAAATTCAACAGATTGCATGAGAAGACGAGTAGCATTTTCTGCACAAAATTGATGAAATGGCAAAGGATTCGTATCAAAGGAACCTTAAAAGGAAGATTCCGGACAATTAGCTTCCACTTTTGAGCCTTGGAGCCCTGCTTCAAACAACATACCGACAGATGATGAATGTTTGGAATGCAATATCCAGGTAGTTTAGTTAACTTATCAATTGCAGTAAGCTATAGTGGTGAAAACACTGAAAAGTATAATGTTCACCTCCCCACCGAACTGACGTGCCCATATGATATTTCCCGATTATCTCCTTTTTGATGTGATGATGCAACAGCAGTGCATGCTGATTTGACACTTGTAAAAAGAACAGCTGTCAGCCGAGGCATCCGCCCTGCACCCATCTCGTGAGTCACTGAAAACATGCTGACTTTACACAAGCTTTTGCTGCCCAGAACGTTTCTCATGGCTCAAGTTATTAAATGGAGTTTCATGAACTAATGATGTGCATCTACTTTTTGTGCATTGGCTGGAAGAACAACCCTCTCTTCCAACACAGATCCTTAGGTCAAGCATAACATAGAGGATATCTTGGCAGTTGGCACCAAAACTAAAAGTTGGTATTGAGTTATTAACTTACAACATCAAAACCTTTCATTAGCCGGGGGCACTAAATTGAAAATTTAATTTAAAAAAAGCCAGTAAAAAACTTGTTGACCATGCAAAAACAGGCCCGTGCATGCATTGAGTTCTTACCATTTTGTTGAAGCTCTTCTATTGGAAGTGGATATCTGACAGAGCACACAGTGCCAACCTCTGTCGCGCGACTCTGGACCATCTCAGCATCAAGAAGGCCACCAAGTATCACAGTTCTTGCAACTCTGTATCCATTCAAAGAAAGAAGATAATCCATGTCAAATTCTATCAAAACAAACCAATAACATACACATAAGCAAAGAACTTAGGTGAGATAGCCACAATCTCAAATACCTTTTTGGTAATTTCCCTAAAGGAAATCGGTTCGATTTCGATAGAAATCATTCAGCTTCCAACGCAAACCATATGTTTATATGCAGATATCAGCTGTCGTACAGAGAACATGTGACATATTTCAAACATTTCGAACTTATACCTTGATGAGATAACCTTTCTGATTGTAAAACTATTTTGATTTCACAAACATAATTTCTTAAAAGGCTTTCACAAGGTCATTGCATAGCACCCATAACTTTCAGGAAAAATCCAAAAATTATTATGGAATTCCATACCTTTGCAAATCAACACATAGTTTTGCTGGTCTTTTTCGTTCAACCGCTTCTCTAGTTTCTTTTCCGGGGTATGGACTGATGACAAAGATACAAAGTTAAATAAAACGAGAACGGGCCAACATGACCAACTAACTTAAAACGTCAAGACTCAAGAGAACCAAACCTGCACACGCTTATACCTTGCTTCTCTGTCTCGAGGATCACACCATCCTTGTCCCTCTTCGACTCTGATTGAACAACTAAGGACACCCCAAGTTCGAAACATAAAAGAAATATAAACAAGGAGTGCCACATGAGTACTGATGTCAGTTCATCTTCAAAAGAGTACGTCAAGAAGATGATAATAACTTAAGTCTTAGATTCCAGAAGTTAATGATATCAACCTTCTGCTGCTTTTGCACATCGCTGCTCCACAGGTGCGCGATGCATGGCCATGCTTAACTGTAATCTTACGACCCCCAACGGTAGAACCGTTTTTCAACTCAATGGCATCATCCAATAAAACACTGTAAAGAAGCAAACATGTAACAGAGGGGGAATTAGGATTTTAAGAACGAATATCAACTATCCAGGACAAGAGATAATTTTGAGAAAAGGGTCAGTAACCTACAATTTAACAACAAACCCAAAGCCACGGTGTTCGTTCGATCCTACAAGTGCAATGGAAGAAATATTATTAGCTCCTCATGGACAGACAAATATCTAACTAAAACGAGACTTTAGCCAGGTTTCGCGAAGTCACACAAAGTGTAGCACCATAACTTCTGCTTAGATAACAGTCAAACATTAAGACTGCCGGCACCTGGGACAGAATTTCCTTACATTTCTTCGTGACCATAAAGCAAAGCCTGACAGGACCAACATCACTGAAGGTTTCTTCAAGCTAAAGCATGGGGAAAACAGCAACTAATAAGCATTCCAATACATAAAGAACAAATTCGCCTAAAAACGAAATTGGTCGTAGATTCTAATAACACACTAATTTGTTTCCATTGCCTCCGCTTTCTACCGAAGTGTTTCATCCAACTTACTTTCCGAGAACCAAACAGCTACTCGATGGAATGAGAAACTCAGGGAGCGAGAAAAGAGAAGGTACCTGAGCATTAGTGAAGGAATAGGGTAATCCAATTACGAAGACAGTGGCAGCACAATGCTGAGGCTTCTCTTCTCCATCTCTCTTTGTCTTCTTGCTCTTCCGCATCGATTCCGTCAGTTTGGCCCTCCGAGAAACTGAACGAAAACAGCGTTCCGAACAAAACGGGAATTTTACTCAAATGACCGACTTCGGTCGCACCTATTTCATGTGTACACCAGAAAAAACATAACACTTTTTTTTCGTGTGAAAAGACGAAATTACCCTTAATGAATACGCGATTTTTATCCGTTAGAAAACAACTTCGTTATTACGACTTCGTAATTAATTCTAAATATAGTTACAATTGATTCTAAAAAAGGTGGCAAAAAAATCATCTGTCTTATTTTAGTGGTATATCAGTTATATGTTAGTCGTAATAAGGTCGCAAAAAATAAAACGAAAAGGGTATTTCGGACTTTTCCAACCAAAAAGTGGGTTAAAATTGAAAAATTTTTTTTTTTTTTTTCGGTGGTGTACACTGAAATTGTTGCGACCCAAGTGGGTTATTTGAGTAATATTCCCGAACAAAACCCTGCGTTTGAATAACAGTTCCTTTCGGAGGCTTTGAAAAAACCGGGTTGACCCGTTTTAAACTTCCGGAACCGGTTACCGATAATGGATTTGTTAGCCCGCAAAATTGGGCGGCTCAAACTCTCAAAGACCCACGGCCCACAAGAAACGCAAGAAGCAAAGGAAAAAACAGATGGAGAATTGGAAATTGCATCAAAATAAGGTCTATGGTTCAACATATACACTATTGAGAAACTGGGGCAAAAAGTTTATATTAAATTTACATTCAAAAGTACTCTGAATCGGTCCAAAAAACGTCCACAGAGATTTCCATTCACATTTATAGCCGAATTCACCTGAAAATCGAATCGAGATATTAGAAGTATGGTCAAAGACTGTGTGAGAGAGAGAGAGAGCAAAAACTTCAGGACCAAACCTTATGTACAAAGCTTTGATGTCTTCCCTCAACCTGGGAGTCTCCAAGAAATCATCATCGCAGTTATCCACTTCCACGGCTCTGAACTCGAAATCTCCATGTCCCCATCCCACGTTCCATTCGAACCACATTTTCGAGATGAACTCTTTCTCCGAACATCTCTTGTAGTCCCCTTCCTCTGCTGAATCTGCCGCAACAAGCCTGTACGCATATACCTTCTTCTTCTGACCAGGTCTATAGGCTCCCGCCCCCGCCTGCTGCGTGACTGATGGGTTTAGATGAACATCGAGAATCAGCACACGAGACGCGCCCACGAGAGAAACGCCTTCTCCACACGCTTTGATCGATCCAAAGAAGACTTTCGCCTCCCCTGATGTGTTGAATCTTTCTATTGACCATTGTCTTTGTTCGTTGCTTGATTCGCCCGTTAACGTAAACATTTCTGCTGCGTGACTGATGGGTTTAGATGAACATCGAGAATCAGCACACGAGACGCGCCCACGAGAGAAACGCCTTCTCCACACGCTTTGATCGATCCAAAGAAGACTTTCGCCTCCCCTGATGTGTTGAATCTTTCTATTGACCATTGTCTTTGTTCGTTGCTTGATTCGCCCGTTAACGTAAACATTTCCTTGCCGAGGTGCCAACCCTTTGTTTCTCTCAGTAATCTCTCGAGAGTTTTCAGCGGGAAAACGAACTGGCTGAACACCAATAGTTTCTCGGATCTTGTTTCGCAGAGATTCAGAATGTTGAGGAAGAACTTCAGTTTCACACCTTCTTGCACGTCGATGTTCTGCAACATCTCGTCGATTTTGTCATTGTCAAATCCCCAGGCTCTGTCTCCTCCATGAGACAAGTATCGGTCCGAGAAAGCTTTCAGCTTCGGGTGAATATAAAGAGCAGCGCCAGCAGACATCTGCTTGAAGTTGTGTTCCTTCTCCAGCTTCTTGACTTCATCTCTCTGCTTCGCACTCAGATTGAGCATCACTGTGAAATCAATAAGCCCCGGAAGCTCATCACTGAAATCCGCTTTGTGATAATGTAAAACCGAACGAGTCATCTCCCTTAGATCCTTTATCACGCTGGCTTTGGCAGAAGATTTGTTTCTGTTCTTCAGCGTTTCTTCCACTCCTGCACAGAAAGATGGCGAATTTCTCTTCCCACTCAGCGGCTCGATCTTGCTCATGATACGTCTAACGAATACCTGAGATTCAGGAAGCCTCAGAAACTTGGGACGGACAAGATTCAAGATGTTGAACACTTCTTTGACATGATTCTGGAACAAAGTCCCCGTCAGGACAACCTTACGAGGTGTCTCCACACGGTCAAGAGAGTTAAGGACGTCTGTCTCATCGTTTCTCGAGGTGTGACCCTCGTCTAATATAAGCAACGTCGGCTCTTTAAGCAGTATCCTCTGGCACTCTTCTGAAGCATCGTTGTTCTTGAAGTCACAGATGATCGAAGAGAACTGCTGATACCCGAGAAACAGAATACTCCTCTGCTTGATCCATTTTCGCAACACAATAAGCTGCTGGGCTCGTGAATCTGCTTTCTCGCTGTAAAAATCGAGAAGAGGGAAAGTCTCGACCGCCCACCGGATGAACTCCTTCTTCCACGTCTCTATGACCCCTTTCGGCAGGACGATCAAAGGTTTTGCATGAGGATGCATGGCCATGAAGCTCTGGATAAAACTGATGAGCAAAAATGTTTTGCCCGAGCCAGGGGTGTGAGCCAAGATGCACCCTCCCGGGGAATCGCTAACCAGATTGTCACAGAGGAAATTGAACCCGTGAATTTGGTGAGGCCTCATCTGCTTCTGGTGCATTGGGTGAACCGAGAGTACCGTTGCTAATGAGTCCTCTCGAGATGACCGTGAGCTCAATGGGTCGGTTGTTTCTCCATTCTTGAAGTTCTTCGGATCATGCACATAAGTTCTCGATCTCTTTGGCTGTAAGAGAGAAAATATCCAGAAAACATCAAGAACAAACTTCAGCAAAGTTTCATAACTCCTGTTATGGTTTACTATCAAAGTATAATTCTTTTCGTTTATGCCTGCAAAATATCAGGCCAAGATCCATATCTCCGGCCAAGATCATCGGAAAAAGTTATTGACTTGCTCACTTTACGGTCATTAATTTACTGATGTAGTAAGAATCCTTCAAATCTTCATTTCCATTTGTGGTACACATTCGAACCTTTATGATAACCAAATGGAGATTAGCTGAAACAGAAGTTGCTAAGAGAATTATGAGGTCACCAACCTTGTTGAACATGACCTCGATGATGCTCTCTACAGGGATCCTAACGAGTCCACAGACACGACACACCTCACCAATATCTTCCTTGTAGATGAAGGAATGTTCACAGTCTTCCACTTTTTCCTCTTCTCGAGGTTTACCCCAAGGATTCTCCACGGCAGGCTGAACCAAAAAATCACGGCTGAGATGTCTATGAACGGGAATCTAATGAGAGATTTTGCAACTCCATGAATTGTAAAAAAGAAACAGGATGTGAAAGTGATGTGAGGAATAACAAAGCCGCATTCACGGAAATAGAGACTGAAACATTAAGAAACTACCTTTGAAGATTCAAGTTCAAATGCCATTTGTGACCAGATGTGATCTAAGCCATCTCCGACCTGAGGATTTCCATCGTCGCTATCCGAGTCTGCATCATCATCGTCCTCTTCATCATTTTGAGGGCTCTCAATTTCATCTGAACAATTTCTGTCCCTTTCACTGTCTTCAGAGTCGTTTTCATCAACAAGAATCACCTCTTCATCGACCTCCGACTGTTCAAGGCCACGATTCTGCGATGACTTGGCCTCATTGTAATGAAGTTCTCCAAGAAAAATCAAATCATCGCCAAACTCAAGCTTAACTCTGTTACCTCTGTCTACAACTTTAGCATTTCGATTAGTAGCAGAATCTGAAACCTGAAAATGCAGATCGGATCGACATCAGAAACTTAGAACACAACTTTAGCTTACTCCGTATATTTAACCAAATCTTAAAAGTGCCAGTGAACTAAGGAAGAAACAAAGGATTAAATCCAAGATAAGAGCAGCATTCAAGAACATTTCTGTTGATACACTTACACTGGCCACTATTTCAGACAACTCATCGTCCGAGTCAAAGATAGTAATAGGAGGTTCCTTCGCCATATTCTCCTCTATTGTACTCTTGTTCTTCCCATAACTAAGCAGAAATGAAAACGCGTCACCGTTGATCTTCCTCTTTAGTTCAATGATTTCTCTTATATCGTTTGCGAAGCGACCATATTTATCTTCAAATCCATCAGGTGGGTAGGGGGAAAAAAAGGGGTCAGGCCGCTTGGCGAGCTCCGAGGGAGTTGCACAGATCACATTCTTGGGCCTTCTCTTTCCATGTAATACCAAAGACGAAGTTGTTCCTGACCGTTCAAGTTGAGAACAAAACAACAGGATCATAATCAGAAAACTTGTGTTAAAAGCTTGAAACCTGGTCATGAAGAACACAAAAGAACTGAAACTGCCTCTGCTTAGAATCAATCAGCTCAAATAGACGATCCATGAAACACTTGTTTTGCCCTTTCCAAAGGGCGAGAGAATCGGGAAAGACTTACAGCTAATCACAGAGAAGACATCACACAAGATCAGTGTATCGTAAGATCTGAGTAAGAATGAAAAACGGGCGCATAAACATGCTTTATGTTGCTCGAAACTGCGTATATGTTCCCACTTTACAGTACACTGGACGTAACTGTGACCGAGTTTAGAACCACCGACGAGTTATCAACTATGTGAAAAACCCTGCAATTTCAAGGGCGGGATTTGTCCTTTTCACCAAGAAATACGAGCAGGAAAGGGATTTAGGTAACGAGGCAGCACGTTTTGGGTCGAACAAACCGGCAAGGTCAAGGTCACAACCAACAAAAATAGCGGGGGAAATAGCTACGAAAGTGGGCGAGCGTTGTGACGTACTCATCGTCCTAGCAGCTGAAGATGAAGAATGTTCGGCAAGCCCCGCCATGGCTGATCGCCGACCAGAGCTACCCAAGCAAGAACCACAGCCAGAGACCCTGAGACAGACAACAAAAATCAAATTTCTTCACATTTGTCTTCCATTTGGTCGGAGAGAGAACCCCGGAAGACGAAAAGGCGCGACCTTTGTGCAGAGAAGAATACGGAAGGCTACGTAGTAGGAGGAAAAGGCGGAACTATTCGGCAGAGAGAGAGAGGGACGGAAGACCGAGGATCCGTATGTACATAATGAAAAAAAAAAAATGGTGAAAAAGTTTGAATTTTATAAATCTTATACATTCGAATGCATATAAAATACTGAAAAAATTGCGTATATATATTCATCTATAATTTTTCATATATTTTTTATAATACTTAATATAATCTATTTTTTTATAGGAATTATGTTCATCTGTAGTTTTTCATAATTTTTATAAAACTTGGTATAATCTATTTTTGTCATTCTTTAAAACATATCATCTAGTATTTTTACATTTTCTAGATGAAATCGATAAAATCTTCTTTTACCGGGTAATTTTTTATATAAGAAAAAACTACTAATAGTTAGATATATTTTAATCTAATTATTAAACATAGATTTATTACAGAAGTATTCTTGACAACGTTAACTACCTTTGTTGTAAATAATATAATCCATAAAATAAAACATTATAAACCTTTTAAATACGCAGCTTTATTAGAAAATGGAAAGAAAGAAAAAACAAGGACACATGTTCATTCGGATAAAGGAAATAAAAAGAAACGAAATTATAAAATAGTTCATTAAGACAAAATAAACGACACATAAGAGTTCGATTGACCCAAAACCAGAAAGTCAAATGTTTCCATGTCGAGCACAGACCTTTCTTACCTGAAAATGTTGCATTTTAGTCGGTTCAATAATTAAAATATGGCAATATATATATATATATAGCTTGACAATATATATATATATATATATATATATATATGTATATATATAGTTGACTGAAAATAAGAGGAGAAGACCAACCTTTTGAAAATGGCTACAATGTCTTTCATCAGCGTCAACCCACTGAGGAAACCATCAGATGATTCCTCAGGAGACTCATACTCCAAACGAAGATATCCTCCTCTGTCGATGCAGTTGTCTTTCCCCTCGAACCATATCTTCGTTATGGAATCTCTTCGGGTGGACAGCTTAAGCTCTTCCAACTCAGACGAACATGTCGTCAGCAGCCTGTACACGTACACCTTCCTCCCCTGCCCTTTCCGGTGCACCATCTCTATGGCTTCTCGATCCAAGCACGGATTCTCGTTCTGCACGTCGAGGATCAGGATCCGCGACGCGGCCACGAGCGATGTCTCCTCGTCACAGGCTTTGATCGAACCGAAACAGATTTTGGCAGCAGCCGAGTAGTTGAACTTGTGGATGGAGTTCTCTCTCTCCCCATGATTCATGTTTCCTTTGAGCATGACTGTCTCTCTGCCTTCTTCCCAGTGTTTGGTCTTAAGGGCAAGCCTCTGAAGGAACTTTAATGGCGTTAGGTATTGACCCAGCACGAGGAGCTTCTCCTTCTTGGATTCGCAGAAGTTGATAAGATCTATGAAGAATCTTGTCTTCACACCGATTCTTGTGTCGATGTTCTCAAGGACTCTGTCGATCTCTTCCTCGCTGGCATGCATCTGTGAGAAAGCGGACAAGACAGGATGAAGCGTTATGGCGCTCACGACAGAAGACTTCTTCGAGCTATTCTCATGGCGGTTTTCTGCAGCTTTTATCTCTCTGATCTGTACCGGATCCGGACGGAGGACCACTATGAAATCCTCCATCTCTGGAAGGATATCAGTAGGAAAATCTTCTGCGTGATAATACACAAGCCCATCTGTCAATACTCTCATCTCTTTTACAGCACCGACCCAAGTGGTTCGACCTTCCTCCTTCTTCAAGGTCTCATCTATTGCATCTAACTGAGGTGTCTTTGCTCTTGACCCAGCTGCCGATGCCTTCATCTCCTGACCCAGCTTCCGTTTGATCATACGAGTTGACTCGTTCCTTTCCAAGAAATCTGGTTTTACAGCATTCAGGTCGACGAAAACATCCTTCAGATGATTTTGGTAAATGCTTCCAGTGAGTATGACCTTTAATGGCGTCTTAACTCGAGTGAACGCATTCATGACGCTTCTCATCTCCCTCATCTTTGAGTTGTAGCCTTTGTCCAGAACGATGACCCACGGTTGACTCAGGAGTATGTCCCTGCAGAGCCCTGAATCTCTGGCGTTTCTTCCACCTCCTGTTACCATCCTCGAGAATTGCCCGTGTCCCAAGAAAAGAATGCTTTTTTCCGACACCCATCTCTTCAGGATCTCCAAGTGTTGAGTTCGACCGACTGAATTTTCCGAGTAGAAGTCGAGCAGCTGGGTGGTTGCATCAGGCTTCCACACATGAAACTCCATCTTCCACATCCTAACCACTGATTTAGGAAGCACCAGGAGGGGTTTCGCCTCCGGGAACTTTGAAAGAAAGCCATAGATGAAACATATCAGCATGAAGGTCTTCTCGTAAAACGATGCTTGAGCCATTACGCAGCCTCCTGGTCCCTCTACGACCAAGTTTCTGTAAAGAAAGTCCAGTCCTCGGACGTGCCAAGGCTTCACGTAGTGAAGCAGTGTCGGGTGAACCCAAGTTCCAGCTCCTGAAGAGCCATGTTCAGGAACGTCTGCAACCCTGGTCGCGCCTCTCGAGCTTCCCGGCTCAGATGGACATGCCTTTTAAAACAAACGGAGAACCATCAAACTATTATCATGATTGCCCCAAACACACATACATGCATACATATATGTATGTGTATACCATGTTGGATTGGACATTGGTTTTAGATCCGATGTCTTCCCAAGCTATGCCACAGATACAGCAGAAGTAGCCACGATTCTTCTTCAGTGAGAAGAAATGGGTGCAACTGATTTTAACATTTACCAGATTTGATTCTTCGAGAAGTTCTTCATTCATCTGATCCTGCCGGAAAAAAAAAAAAGAAGCGGTAGAACATAATTAGGAAAATGCTGCATAAAAAAAAAACACAGCAATCGATCTTGAATGGAGTTAAGATACCAGATTTTGTGAATCACTGCTTCCATCTCCATTGTCTTCTTCCTCTTCTCTTTCTTCTTCATCTCCTACATCTTCAGATACAACCTTTTCTTTTCCTTTCAAATCTCTTGCTTCCTCTTCCTGTTCTTGTTCTTGTTCTTCTTCGCTTTCTTCTTCTTCTTGTCTTGTTCTCTGCACATAGAGACCAAACACAAGCCTTCAAAACTATCCATGGTTAAATCAAATCAAATGATTGATAAACCCCCCCACCCCCCAAAAAAAAAACATATTTCTAGAGATTCCAGATGCTGTAGTTACGACTGAGACTGGAATGGGGGTGGGAGCCTCTTCCACGTGCTGCCTTATGATATCGTCGAGGAAACAGAGCACATCCACTTGAACATGAACTAAACACCCGGTTCCAGTTGCAGCGTCAACATCATCATCTGATGAATCCGAAATCACAATAGGCCTTTCTCTAGACGACGTCTCCACCAGTTTCGTCCGCTTCCCTCTCTCTGAGGACTCCCCTGTATTTTACACATTGACAATAAGTACAAAAAAAAAAAAAATCCTAGGAATCATGATGCATGTGTAATAATCGTTAGACCAGAATCTAAACAGACATTGAATCAACCTAGCTCTTTGATTGGTTTCAAGGCGTCTGTTATATTTTTGTAATAAAACAAATAAATTTTGAAACTTTGTATCATGGGAAATATCAGCTACTAACTAAGCAAAGCATATGTTTCTCAATAAAATCGTACCATCAAACTAGTCGAACTAAAACTCTCTTTAATTGGTATTAGAAGTTATATAAAAAAACGAGTTATTGATAATCTACAAATGAAGTTGTTTTAGATGGATGAGAAGATGAAAAAAAATCAATTAACCAATATTCACAAAATGGTTAAGTTGTATACAACCAAAAGAATAAAAAATGGATAACTTATTAAATAAAAATATATAAAAAAATTTGTAAAAATGATAATATAAAACAAATGTAATAATAAAATAGAAAATATATGTTTGATATCATAAAAATTTCAATGTATTTCATTTATAAAATCATAATGTAATAATGAATATAAACATTTAATTTAAATAAAAATAATTAAAAATAAATAAAAACCGAATAAGTGTTTATATATAATGAATTAAATCAAAATATAAAATATAAAAATAAATACAAATAATAAAATAAAATATATTCATTATAAAATAAAATTTATATCTGAATATTTTAATTGAACAAAATGTTAAAAAAATTGATATATATAACGCTAAACTAAAATCTAAAATAGATAATAAATATAAATATAAATATATGATATGTTGAAAAATTATTTCATACATATTATTAAATATATTAAAAATTGTATATATGGTATAAAAAATTCTAACTAATTCATATGTAAAAGAAATTTTACATTTAACATTATAAGACAAAATAATAATAATAATAACAATAAATAAATTTAAAAATATAAAAATATAATGGAAAATTTAAAATAAAAATATAATTTGTTTGAAAATAATTTTAAAAATTAAATTAAAATATATAATTCGTATTTTTAATAATAAAAAATATTTATCATATATAATATAATTTTTATATTAAATTGATAATAATTAAATAAAAATAAATAAAAATATAATATTATATGGTATAAATATAAAAACAAATAAATCGAAATATATATTCAATATCAAATATATTTCAATGTACAAATATTTATCTAAAAAAGTATTTTCATTATAAATATAGATCTAAAATTAAAATATTAATAAAAACACTTAAAAAATATAAATATTTTTAATAATAGATATAAAATTAAAAAAAAAATTCAAAACATATAATATATACTAAGTAAATAAATTATAAAATAATTAAAATACGAATTTGAATATAAATAAAAGATAGAAAAATAATATCTTTATATTATATAAATTTATTAAATATTTAATACTTCATTATAAATTGTTAGTTTTTAAAATTCTCAAGATTATCATAAGATAAAAATAAAACATCACAAAATTTAATATATGTTAAATTATATAAATTATTATAATACAAAATAATACATTTTTAATAGATTATCTTTAAAAAAATTTAAACAAATCAAATAACCTCATACATAAGAAAAATTTCTTCATTATTTTTTTATAAAATATGTATGATGAATTCATTAAAAAAATTTATCATTAAATATAAAATTTTCATTGTTACTTTTTGTAATATAAAATAATCAAATCTATTATTTACATTATACTATTCAATTCGTTATCATATATTTTAGATTTAAAAATCTAAATTCTTGAAAATTCTTTGTGTATTGACTTTTTTAAAATTCAATATAAGCATATTTTGAATATAAAATCAGTTTAGATATTATATAAATATAATAATTAGTATAAGATATATGAAAACTACTTGAAAATTTGTTCTATAGACTTATCATTTTGATGAAATATTTGTTGTTAATCGTATTTTCTGCAATGTATACATAAATTTTGTATATATTTATATATATCATACTTATATATTATCAAGATAAAATGTTATAAAAAGTACCTGAATTTTTTTTTCTCTTCGATAACTCCATTGAAATGGATCACCAACTTGAGAACTCTTTAGTTTTGTGTTTGGAGACTAAAAGAGAAGTTTAACAAAATGGGTTGAGGGTGATCATTGTGCATATTTATAGTAAAACTTTAGAGCTAAAAAATAAATAGATAATTTATGTTAATAAAATAATATTTTTAAAAATATTATAAATCACACAATATATATTTCGTTTTATTTTTAAATTTAAATTAATAGTCATAAAATGATAAAATAGTCTAAATAAAAATATTTAACATAATTTTTTTAAAACAATGAAAATATTATCCTCTTGATATGAATAGTTTTGTTTACTAAAAATGCATTCTATATAAAATATGCCTAATATAACAATCCTAACGAATTTATGAATTTACGCGCGAAGATTAAAGAATTTGTAATACCGTTATATTTTATTATAAAACGCGCTAATAATTTTTTGTATTTTCAGTATTATTTTTTGAGTGAAACAAAAACTTTTTTTCATTGCTATCAATTTATCATATTTAAAATGTATTTCTATCTATATATTGTTCGTATATAATTTTTATTATTTCGGATTGTTTATGTTTATTCTATTATAAAATAATGATTTAAAAATATTTAGCAAGTTGATTGTGGATAAAAAAATTCTATCTTTTTATTTATCTGTTACCCTCTAAAATTGGAAAAATTTTAATAATAAAAGTGCATATGTGATTGAAAGGCAAATAAAGCTAAAATTGGCCTTGAATAGGTAACAAGGCCTGGAAGAGAAAACATTTTCCTATTTTTTCACCAATGACCTTTCCCTTTTATAAAATATAATTAATTTGTGATATATATCATTTGAATTTTTCTAAATTGGTTTCAGTTTCTAAATTAATTATATAAGTACACGTATATGACTATCCGCGTAGCAAAAAGATTCTTCCTTTAATGGTATGGTGGACCCATAGCCTTAATCTTTTCAAAAATGTAAAACTTAAAAACTGAGAAGTGTTTGGATGCTGTGATTACATTGTTCTCGGTTAAGGTTTGGATAATTGAATACCCATTTCCAATATACCGTATTTCACACGGATTATACAGTTTTAAAAATAAGTATATTACGCAGTGTTTTCTCTTTAAGCACTTTGATTGTGGGTATTTAAAATTTCCAATAATAATATCTGAAATAAAATTGTTATTTCAATATTCAATATTCTTGTTATTGTCAATTCCTAAACTGTTCAACTATTTGTTATTAGTTTCAGCCATCTATTGCTATTTTTTTCAACTTTCTAAATAATTAAATAATATATAAACACTCGTATATTTATTAATCATAACGTTGAATATGCGTATGAATTTTGCCCCGCCTTAATATATTATTTAAATTATGATTACAGTGTAACTAATGTAAACTTAATGTTTTTTGTGTGTGTGCATCTCACAATGTATATTATTTGTCTGTATATATTAATTTACTTTGGTGTAGATATCTATCGCTTTCGCTGCATTATACGGAATACCACCTCAAAAACAAAAGTGTGTATATATATATATATGTGTGTGTGTGTGTCTATTTTACATATTTATTTTTTGTCCGATTAAAAATGCAGTATTAAATATAGAATCTGTTCGGAACTTGCCAGCCAAAAGGTTTAATTATATATATATATATATATATATACAATTACAAAATATATATATATATATATATATATATATATATATATATTCAAATAACACAAAAGTATTACTTTAATCTCCACAATAATTTAAAGGGTGGGCTGGTCTATGAAGACAAATTTTATAATATGATATGGTGTACGTATACAATAATCATCTTAACACGTGAATATATTTTTAATATATATACGTATAGCTTCTATTTTCATTTCGAGCATGCGTAAAGTGTAATATGCACGTAATTCAAATTATATACATATATATATATATGTGTGTGTGTGTGGGTCAGTATCTACGAAATCAAAACTTATATAAGAAAACATTGTCAATTGGTCAATTAACGTTCTTTGAGAAGTTTCAAATTAACTTCCACGATGTTTCCTTAGGGTTATAGAGGCCATCCATGTATTATTTCTTCGTTCATGAACCCTAGAATAAAAAAATTCATCCCCTTTCTTCTCTCCAAATTTAATTACGTATTTATTTATTTAATTCTTGAGGTTTTTCCCCTCATTTCCAATCGCTTTTTAAATTATTGCCCGCAGAATTTTTCGCTTCTCTATTTCACCTCCCTTCGTCTTCTGTTCGGCTCTGGCTTTCGCTTGGACGTATTACTCGGCCTGTCCCTCCATGGCTACGCAGCAGCAGCAGCAGCAGCAGCTATCTGCAATTAAAGTATGCTCTGAAATTTCCCTCATTTTCTCTGATTTGTCAAGCTTTTTGGAGTTGAAGCTTGTGTTTTTAATCGAAAATTTTCGACTTTTGACATTTTGCCGTTCTGGGTTAGGGGGCGAAAGTGCTTATGGTGGGAGCCGGTGGGATTGGATGTGAGTTGCTGAAGACGCTTGCTCTTTCTGGATTTGAAGACATTCATATCGTGAGTTCATGGATTAAGTTCTCGCTCTTCATGATTTAAGTTCAATCTCAATCGTATTTTGATTCCTTGAATAGTGACAGAAATTAGGCGTTTCTGTTTCTTTTGGAGATTATGGACGCTTGGGTTTGTATGTAGCCTGGGAGATTACTGATTAGAAAGCCCTGAAATATTTTTTATGCTTGATTCAGAGTTTAGGGTTTACCCTTTTTTTTTAATTGATTTGAACATCTTTGAGCTTTTTCAATATCTGTTGATGTGCCTCAGTAGTTTCAGAGTAACTGGAACTTTTATTTGTCAGAAGACATCGTTTTCTCGTAGACGTTAGAGTCTTTAGTAAATTAGTACTGCTTGGAAGAGCTGTTCTCTGTAGTTGTCTGTTTATGTTTCTGTATAAGACATCTGTAGCATATTGATGGGAAAATCTGGCTGATTAGTAGACCGTTTTAATTTGATTCGAGAACTTTCTATGCGTTTTTAGCTGGTGAGTGGGTGTAGTGTAACATAGTCTAACACCTTGGATAGATGTCCCTGACCAGTTCTATACGGGCTCTGATACTCCACGGTTATGGAATTGCACCTTGACATTGATAATTATATAGGGTGGAATCTTTTGTTGTGCTGCTTAATAGCCGGACAAAGGTGTGGTTGCTTAGAGCACTCTCTAGTTAGGGGCATTTTGCATATTTATGATCCACAATTTGGGATAAAACCGAGGAACCCCCCCCCTCTCTCCCCGACTTTTACTTCTGGTTCTTTTGGACTTCTGGCTGTGCAAATTACTGGAGCAAAGAGTTGCAAGATTCCACAGTCGAATCTTTACCTTTGAATAGGTTAGTTCTTTCTGTGCTGGTTATCCGCACTTAAACTACTTATTTGTATGTGTTACAGATTGACATGGACACCATTGAAGTCAGTAATCTGAATAGGCAGTTTTTATTCCGCCAATCACATGTTGGGCAGTCCAAGGCTAAGGTAATTTCGCTAGGTGAGTGTTTTTCTTTTCTTACCTAATTCCATGGGAGATAATATCTTTCTATGGTTTCACCAGGTTGCCCGAGATGCAGTCCTAAGGTTTAGGCCTCACATTAATATAACACCGTACCATGCAAATGTCAAAGATCCTGAGTTCGATGTTGACTTCTTCAAACAATTTGACGTCGTGCTGAACGGGCTGGACAATTTGGATGCAAGGCGCCATGTCAATCGTCTCTGTCTTGCAGCTGATGTTCCCTTGGTAGAAAGTGGGACAACTGGCTTCTTAGGACAGGTGATTTTGCATACCCTTAGGTAGTTGAGTTTCTTCTTAAAAGATGTTGTGGATGTATATACAAAAATGCTAGGTTTTCATGGTCTAATCCTAAACATGGTTTTATGAAACAATGGCTTGCCTCTGAGAGTATTAATAACTTGCACAAACTTCCTCTGACTTTGTTACTTGAGTGAATAATCGGAGCAGGTGACGGTTCATGTGAAGGGAAAAACCGAGTGCTATGAGTGCCAACCAAAACCTGCACCAAAAACATACCCTGTTTGTACGATAACCAGCACTCCGACTAAGGTATTATAATGCCCTTTTCTCTACTGCTCTTGTTCATATTCTGAATAACTGGAGTAGCAGAGGATTAGAAGAGGTTACATGTCAATAAATTTTGGTCATTTGTTTGTACCTTGCAGTTTGTACATTGTATTGTGTGGGCAAAAGACCTGCTCTTTGCTAAGCTGTTTGGAGACAAGAATCAGGAGAATGATCTCAATGTGCGATCCAACAACTCTTCAAGCCCGTCCAACGAAATAGACGATGTGTTCGAACGTGCAAAAGATGAAGATATTGAGCAGTACGGCAGAAAGATATTTGATCATGTATTTGGTTACAACATCGAAGTGGCTTTGTCCAATGAAGAGACGTGGAAGAATCGTAATCGACCAAGGCCCATATACAGTAAGGATGCCTTGCCTGGAAGCCCTACTCAACAAAATGGAAATTCACAAAACTGTTCTGTAACTGATGGAAGTTCAACAACCTCTGCCATGGTGTCACTTGGCCTTAAGAATCCACAGGATGTGTGGGGTCTTACAGAAAATTCTCGGGTTTTTCTCGAAGCATTGAAACTGTTTCTTGTCAAGAGAGGAAAGGTCTGCAAAACTTCTGTCTATATTTAAGTTTCGATTTAATTACTTCTGTTTTCTTACCGATTTCATTGTTTCCTCCCCCACCATTAACAGGAGATGGGGAGCCTCAGTTTTGACAAAGATGATCAGTTAGCTGTGGAGTTTGTCACGTCTGCAGCGAATATCCGAGCTGCTTCCTTTGGAATTCCTTTGCACAGTCTTTTTGAAGCCAAAGGTATTGCTGGCAATATTGTGCATGCTGTTGCAACTACAAACGCTATTATAGCAGGCTTAATTGTCATTGAAGCTATCAAAGTGCTTGGAAAGAATGTGGAGAAGTACAGGTTTGTTATTGTCTCTGTTTCTTCTATTGTTCTTATTCTGTATATTTACTGAATTGGTGATGTATTTATTCTATAAGATTCAGAATCCTTTGCATTGTTTTTTGCTTTGTCCTAACATCCTCCCCCCCCAAAAATGTAGAATGACGTATTGCTTAGAACACCCGAGCAAAAAGATGCTGCTGATGCCAGTTGAACCCTTTGAACCTAATCCGTCTTGCTATGTCTGTTCCAAGGTATAGGTTGTCTGGCTTACAACTTCTTTTTCCCTCTGCAATCTTGGTGTTTATTGCCATATTTTTTTTTCTGATTTTTTGTAACAGACGCCTTTGACACTTGAGATCAATACCCAGAAGTCGAAATTACGGGATCTGGTTGAGAAAATCGTCAGAGCCAAAATTGGAATGAACCTTCCATTGATTATGCATGGGACATCCCTTCTTTACGAAGTTGGTGATGATCTTGATGAAGCCATGGTGGCAAACTATAATGCCAATCTCGAGAAGGTTTGTTTTCTTTCTTTCGTGTAGGTAGATTCTTGACACTGCGCTTGGATTTCATAATTTTACACGTGTTTCTTTGTTCAGGTTTTGTCGGAACTCCCTTCTCCCATTGTCAGTGGTAGCATTCTCACTGTGGAAGATCTTCAGCAAGAGCTTTCTTGCAAGATCAATGTCAAGCACAGGTTTGCCTTTTCTTTTTTTATTCGAACCCTTCAGCTTTCGGGTGTTCTACCTTGAACAGAGTCCTGAATCTTTACAGCGCTAAAAAGGTCATTGAACCTCGGACATTCTTCACACTTTTCATATTAGAACATATCTCCTCTTTTAAGACAACAGTGGAACAAGTCATTGTTTATCGTGGGTTTGATGTCTGAAAGGAAACAGGGTTTTTGTCTGAAAATTCGAACGATCTGCTGATTAGTTCCAGAAGAAAAAAAAAGCCTTTGGCTAAGTTTTCTGGAAATGTTTGACAGATGATTTACAGCTTTGCTGATTCATTCTCAGGGAAGAATTTGACGAAGAGAAAGAACCGGAAGGAATGGTTCTGTACGGATGGTCAGAGTCTCCAGCTGCCAATGGTGAAAGTTCATCAACCTCTACCGCACGGCCTCCAGATTCTGAAAACGCAATTGAGGCTCCAGAATCTTCGTCAAGACCAGAAATTGCAACTGGTAAGAAAAGAAAGCTCACAGAGGAAACCGAGATGGAGACCAATAACCAGAAGAAACCACCAGAAAACAACACAAGCTTTAGCATGGAAAAGGGAATCGACATTGATGACGAAGACATTGTCGTGGTGGAGGATCCAGACATAGTTGTTAGCAAGAAGAAGAGGGCTCAATAGATGAAAAGAAGTCCTCCGAGTCTAACATTGTAGTTTGGTCATGAGGATGACAGCGCGTCTGAAAAAAAAAAAGTATGAATTAGGATTCTTTTTTGGGGAACTTTCAGTTGGTTTATAATGTTAGGACAGGAACACCACAGAGGTTGTATAACGTTTTCACTAACTGTAAGCTTCACATATCCGTTGTTAAACCGGACTGGAAATTTTCGGTTTGCTTATCGTTTTTTTTTCATTCATTCGGTTCTCTTTTTGAAGCATATTGATACTTCAATTCTTCGTTGAAGTTTAAAAAAGAAAGCATAATAATTACAAAGAGCCACTAAATTGTAAAATCATGAAAACCTTATTTTAAAAAAAGTTCTGAAGTTTATGAAGATACTCGCAGACAATTTCGATGTGGACTTCTAAAAGACAAAAACTAGGAAAACTACAATTTCGATCCTGAAGTACACTGGATCCAGAAACTCGGAACTCCCCTTCACAGCCCACGTCTTCGTATCATGACTTTGCTATCAATGTTTGGGCATTCTCAGTTACATCATCATCATCATCATCATCATCACTGAAAGTAGATTTTGACAGCATTGATGTACCCAACCCAGATCCACACAAGTTTATGTTTTCTACTGAACAGGCAAGAAGTGTTCTTAATGGAAGCTAATAACCATTTATTAGGCTCAACCCATAAACTCTTTTCCAAGCTAAGATAAATAGACGAGTAATTGTAACAGCTGAAACAAAAAAACCGGCCCAGTTAACTTTTGGTCTAACAAAGGCTTTTCACCTCCATTCCAGTGATTCTAAAGCTTGCTGATGAGTCTTTGCATCTCCTGCAGCCGCTACGTTAAAGCCTGTAAAACCAGGAAAACACACGGGGATACTTCAGCTGGTTCGACATTCAGGATCTCCACAATCCACTGTCCTATTTTTTTGTTAAAGAGTAAGAAAATATATGAAAAGGAACCAAAAAAGAAACTCCCCGGGAATATTGGACGTACTTGTAGCTCGAGAACGAGATGAAGCTTCCCACAAAAGTGCATTCCCGCTCCAATCGGTTATGGTACCTCCAGAGCCTTCTATTACGGGTACCAGAGCCAGGAAATCGTATGGCTGGCGAATAATAATATGCATTGTAGTAAGGTGGAGGGGAAAATATAGCATTCACTAAAGAAATTATCTTGATACAATTGGGAGATTTTCTTTCGAAAACAACTAACAGTGATCTCATTCCCAAAACTAAAAGAGTTTTACCTTTAAGCCAGATTCAATCACGAGATCAACATAACCAGAAGCCAGAAGAGCATAAGCGTAACAATCACATCCATATAACGGCACCTTCACCTGCTAATTAGAAAGTTCACAAGCCAGAAAAGAGAAAATAAGACATGCATTAAAATCTTTAAGCCACGTACTATATGCATTAAATACAATGTCCTCTTGGTTCCAACAATGGATGACGTGGTATTTGTCTGTGAACACTCTTTGCAAATACTTAGGGTCACAAGGAGGGTATCACAAAATTATTATTTTCACGCGAACATCTAACAAAAAAAATAACACTTGGTTAAAGTTACATGTATCTTAAATAGAGAGAAGAGGACCTTATCTCTAACGCGAGCAAATGCTTTTTCTGCCTCTCCATTGAAAAGATGTGGGCTAGTGGTGTACCTTAACAGCCAAAAGATGAGAATAGGGAGAAAGTAAGGAACTATTAGTAATACAAACGGGGTAAATCTGTATACTTCCCCTTTGCAAACATGATAGGTATCACATATTTCTTAAGCTTGTCTTCCCAAAAAGCTGACCATATAAGTAACTAGTTAGCAACTCAATGGGCAGAAAGCTTACAAATATGCTTGTGATAATTTATCACAAGATCGGGTTGAGACCTCTTCACCGTTCAACTTAGTTATTCTTCCGCTTATTCCGACCCATCTTTCTTTTAGAATAGGCTGATCAATTATACCAAGAATCTGAAAGGAAAGATGAGGTAGGGTAATAAGCCCAAATATGCATATCCCAGGAACATATAAACTATGAAATACTGTCAGCAACTTCACATTCTTAGAAGTTCTCTACAGTCGTTTCCTGAGGCATATGAATTTGGAAACAGACAGAGTCACCATAGACCACAATTGAAACAGCACCGAAATTGGTGATCTTACCGGTTTACCTTTGTACAGCAGAGAGATCAAAGTACCAAACAAAGGTTTCCCTGGGATGAAATATTTACAAGCATGTTGAGATCTCAAAGTCTTAACTAGACAGTTAAAAGTGACAAAGGATAGCGAAAGAAATGTACCTGTGATAAAGCTCTTTGTTCCATCAATTGGATCCAAAACCCAGACATAGTCTGCAGATTCCTCTTTGCACCTCCAACCCTTTTCCTCTCCATAACTACATTTACAATTTTATACGTGACTAACAATAGATCAATCAACTTCTCAGTGTCGTTTATGTACTGAAACCGGTATCGCCGAAAGAATGAAACTTTTTCATCTATTCACCTTCTAGAACGTAAACAAAAGAGGATCCACCATATATCGCCGTCGTAAAGGCCCAACTAGACAACTAAATCCTCGTAATTCAGTAGAGCATCATAGCTCAAGCAAGATCGCTACTTAATGAAGAGGAAACAACTAAAACATTTGTCAAGAGCGCAGGGCCAAGGAAAACTTACATGGCATGAGAAGGAAAATTCTGCAATATGATTGACGCCATTGCCTCTTCAGCCATTTGATCTGCGATAGTGACTGGACCTACACACAAACGGAAAGAGGAAATAACAAACAATTCTAGAACCCAGTATACAAAACAATACAGGCAGTTAATTGGTCATGGAAAATTTCAAAATGGAGAGGGTGTGACAGTCAAAACATCAGGGCATGATACTCGGAGTAAATACTCAGTGTTGGAGTAGTCTCCTCTTCGAACCCAGAAAGATCCAAACGAGAACTTCAGAGACAGAACCCTACACCTTCTCTGATTTCGAGATGGTCGGAAATAACAATTACTTCGTCTTGATTGACATTTTGATATCCAAGTAACTGTCGTGCCAGTCTCAATCAAACCTACTATGCTCACGAAAACTAGCAGACGCTCCATTGCACAATGTACATTAGCATATACTAAAAACCAGCGCATGCAAAATCAGACAATCAAACGACACTCACTCATATCATCTTTGTCGACAATGTCGAACTTCTTCCGGAAATACTTTCTGATAACCTCACCGGCGGCGTCGGCGAGCAAATTTCCGACTTCAGCAAAGAGATCAAGATCGGTTCCGCCGAGTGCCGATGAGACGGCGCCGATAAGGTCGGGACTTTTCGACTTCGGGGCCATCGACAAGGGGATTCGGCCACGGCTAAAGCTAGCAGAGGAAAATAAGAGAGCGAGGTTACTGCTTCGCGCCGGAGAAGAGAAACGAAGAGAACATGACACCGGAGAAGCCGGCAACAGCGGCGGAAGTAGAGGGAAGGACTTAGAGACGACCTGAGACTGACCCACCAGCAGCATTTGCAGAGACGGGGGGGAGAGAGAGGGATTTCAGGCGAAGCAGGTGGGATTTGCTCTTTGAGCCGTTGGATCAGCCTTTATTTGGTCGCGATTCGATTCGCTTGGTAATGAACCGGACATAACCGAACCGTAATTACTGTCCACCGGTTTAGACAAAACAAATTTAGATGTTTACAGAATAATCATGAATCCATTACACACAATATTTCGGTGCAACAGTTTCGATCAAAACAAAGACGAATATTAAAGATTATATTAAAACAAAATTAAGCAAAGGAAACATTTAGAAATCCATGGACGACAAAACTACAGAACCCCATCTTGGAAATCAAGAACCCCACAATTTACATCGGACCACAAGGTTGAAAAATATTGAATTCAACAAAAACTAAATATTGAATTCCATTACCCATAACCCAAAACGAAAGATTCTGATATGGTAACTGACCACAAATACAGAAAAGAAAAGTGTGGACCAATGTCAATTCAATGTCATTACAAACTAAACAGTATACACCCCCTTGAATCTCCACTTCATACCCATTGGATGCATTCTGCCAGAGTCTTTTGTTAGGGTTTTATGACCCCCATTACATTGTTATATGCTGTTCTCAAACCTTATATATATATATATATACAAGTGTGAAAATTAGGGAAATAGGGGAAAAAAAAAGGAGAGGGAAAATGGTGAAGACACTCAGTTGAGATTTTGCACAATGCTTGAACAACACAAGGGGCTGTGTTTGAGCAATGTTACTACTGTTGTGTGCTGTATGACTTCTTTTGGCCATCCCTTCCAAGACTGCTCTTCTCCATAATCTGAAAAACGACAAAAAAAAAAAATCACATGGTTTTATTCCTGCTCTCTGATTAACCCCAAGCCCGAGAGACCCAAGACCCGATGTTTTCGGGCTCGGGCCGGTTAGCTCTGGAACGTCTGCCTTTGCCACTCCTGTCTCTAGTCAGAATTTCATCGCTTGGTTTCTATCTTTTGGCTTTTAGGATTCTAAGCAGTTCTAGGTTGAGTTCTAAACTACATGTACAACAAAATATTTACTTAGTTTCCCATGAGAAAGAGAATTTCTTGATGTAACTCAGAGAGAGAGATGCTTACAAGTGTTCATATTTTGCTGGACTTGGTCCAGAAGAAGCCCTTCTTCCGTCCAGGATGATTATCTTTAGGGGCTTTCCCGCTCCCTCTGGACCCAAAAGATAAGTGCCGTGACAAGAAGGGCCTCGGGGAACAATTTTTCACACTTGAACTCGAGATCAGCTTGGGGCTCTTCCCCTTGTGTCCATAACTGCCGACTGTGTGATCAAACATAATGAGGTCATCACAGTCAAAGTCACTGTCCATAACACGATTTCTCAGTCTCTTGTATCTGGCTCTCAAATCCATCTCTGCCCTCAATGCCTTTTCTGACAGCTTGTGTGTTTTCTTCTCACCCAATGCACATATGGGACATGAAGGGTCGAATTTGTCGATTTCTGGTGTCATGTGTTCTAAACATTCAGCGTGATAGACATGACCACAGTCTAGAACAGCTACAACTGATAGCTCGTTTGAAGTTATGATCTTTTGGCTGCTCCACAAGGATTTCTCTGTCAAGGGTCTCGAGCAAGCGCCACAGGTTTGTTGATCATTGGACGTTCGGTTGCCATGACGGCCTATTTTGTCACGCCGGAGGCCAAAGGAATCGTTATCAAAAGACACAGACTCCCTCTGGGAAAATGACATCAGCTCAGAAAAGGCATGCATGGACCAACCTTCAGAAGGCCCACACTGCAAATCGTTACTCCAACGAGTTCCCTGCCTCTCTTCAGTTGCTGAGTATCGGCTTTTTGAGGTTTCCCCACAAATTTGACCATCTGACTCTTGCTTTGATAAAAGAGGACGGTGTGCCAACTTTAAAGTGGATGAGGTTGCAGGTTGTAAGTTGCTGTGAGATGACAGCGGTGACGTGGAGAAGGATGATGGTTGAGAAGCCACCCCACAAATTTGACCATCTGACTCTTGCTTTGATAAAAGAGGACGGTGTGCCAACTTTAAAGTGGATGAGGTTGCAGGTTGTAAGTTGCTGTGAGATGACAGCGGTGACGTGGAGAAGGATGATGGTTGAGAAGCCAAGGAAAGAGAGAATTTCGAGGGAGATGGATAAGATGGTCCCAAGGATTCTATTGAATCCTTAGTTGTCTGTTCAATCTGCAAAAGAGAGGTAATATCAGTAGAGGTAAACACCTGAAATCATTAGAAAAGGTTAGTGCATAGGGGACAAGCTTTACCTGCTCTGAAACATCAGTAGAGACATTTCTTCGAAAAGATAAATCTGCCACCATACGAATGAATAACATGAAAATGGAAATGACATAGTTAAAGATCAAGAAGACTTCAGAAAACCAAACAAGAGGCAGTGTCAGGAAATAGATGGATCATTTCCTTTTTGCTTATTAAGAATAGATACAAAAGTACATTGGGTAGTCAAAATGTCAAATGTGTTTCTAAGTGCCCAGCTTCAATTCTCCAATTTTCAGCAGATATCTTAAATCCCAAGTGCCAGTTTCTACCATTCTCAAGACAACAGGAATATACTTGTAAGAAATTCCCGTAAAGCATACAGTTCTCACAGATCCAAAACAGGTTTGCGGTTAACAATTATTTTTACAACTAAGTGCTAGCAACGTCAAGACTTTTACCTGATTGGGGAGATTTCTGCCATGTCTGCGCCCGGAAGCTGTCCAAAGGGGACCCTTCTGATGATACAAACGCAGACTCAAATTTCACATCAGACCCATCATTCCGACTAAGTCCATCAGATAACCAACTCAGAGAGGTCTCTTCACCAGCTACTCGTCCTCTATTATCCCATCGGAAACTCCAAGTTGGAGAATACCGGCCATTGTTTATTTGTAAACTCTCACCGTCTGATCTATTGGGCACAACCATTTTGTCTCTAGCAGCAACACAACAAGCAGACCCCATAACCGAAGAGCGTGAATTCACAACGACCAAGCACCCCAAAAAACACGCTGCCTAAATTCCTTGGTGCATAAAAACTCAGTAAAGCACCTCACAACAACTCCTTCCTGGCTAGTTCCTTCCTGACAACATAAAACCAATGCAAATCCGAATCCAGGAACTCGATTAGCATCAATTATTAGTAGAAATCCTTTAAGAATTGAAAGGATTCCCACCCATATGAGTGAACAGAGCAGCCCACAGAACCGGGAATCGAAACGGAACCAATCAAATAATCATGCATCCCGACAAACCGAATAAAGGCTAAGGGTCAGCCTAAAACTAAATAGCTCGTAGCCACATAATCTCTTTCCTTTACTGTAACGTGATGAAGAAGAGCTGTGGTAACTTACCAGACAGGCACCAACTACGCTACCTTTGAACTGGTAAAGCAAATAATTCTAACCTTTCGCACCAAGAGAAAAAATCGATACAGATTATCGGAAAAATAAAAAGAGAATCACATGGATTTGTCCAGTGCTCTCTAGGTCACTGAACTGCATCACAGTCTTCACTATAAGAGCCCCAACAAATTATTTAGGAAACCTAAAAATAGCAATTGAATCGGACAAGGGTATCGCTAAACAGATCCAAGATCAGTGCTGGGAATCCTGTAAGTCATGTCGAGGTTACCAAAAATAGAAACAAAAACCCTAAAATCGGCACATGGAAAGAATCCGAATGAAACACGAAATTATTACAATCAAACTGATGCTAGGAGAGTCACAGACACCAAACCTGCTCTCGGAAGCCCCGAAACGTCTCTACAGAGAGAAAGAAACTTTCACAGGGAGAGAGAGAGAGAGAGCGCGGTGGGTTTGTAGAGTGAGAAAAGGAAAGAAATGAACACTACTGCTTAGTTCTCTTGTAGAGAGAGAGAGGAGAGGGAAAGAGGAGAGTACTTAGTCGTTTTTGACAGTTTATTTAACGCCGTCAGAATACGGTTGGTCTCCGGTAACCGTCCCAAATGGGAATAACCAAATCGAACCGATCCGAACAATTGGTAATTAGATTGGTTCTCTATCAATTTATATCTCATTGTAGTCCTTTCCTTTTTTCTTGCTTAATTAAATTTATTTATAATAAAATAAAAATATGTTCCGCTGAAGTTTCGACTACGTCTGTAATTTTGCCTACATGTATATATTTATGTACATATATAGATGTATAATTTTATACGTTTTGTTATCAACGTAGTATATACGTAAACAGATTTGGAATTATGTTCATGGAGTGAATTCGATTAACTATATAATTTTAGAAATGTTATAAATCTAACAATCAAAGAACAGAAATGAGGTGAGTTATTAATATTCTGCACGCATACTTTTACTTTGGTATATATATATACACGTTTTTTTGGCACCAGTTTATTTTGTTTTTATCACTTTTTAAATGCTTTGTGTTCAATCTAAAATAAATATTATGATTAAGCTCCATAAAAATAAAAGCACGATTAGAAAATGAATCGATAAAATGCTAAACCGGAAGCATCGGTAGGTATTCGGTCTACTCAAACCGTTCTCTGGTTCCCTAAAAATCTGACGGCGTAAGGCAGCGGAATTAAGTGACGTACGTCAAATGGGGACGACGCGTCATGTTAGAAGACAAAAAGGGCGGGGCAACGAATAATTGACCAGACGCTTACGAAGTGACGCCGTCGGATGGGGCGTTTTTTGGGAACGGTAGCTAAGTTATGAGAGAAAAATGTAAATACAGACTTTTAAAGGGGTTAGTTTAGAAAATATGAAAAATAACGTTTATGTGTTATCTCGTAGGATACGCGACCTGGAGCTTTGAAAGGCCAACACGAAACGATCATTGGGAGAAGGGAACATAAAGACGAAACTAACACTCCCAAATTCACATTTAATCTGTTATTTTCAACATATACAATTATCATCACGCGACAAACTTTTTATTTGTTATATAGAATATTAAATTAGGAAATTGGCTATATTTACCAAAACTAAAGAATACAAAATATGGTGCTCATGCCATGGTATGTATTTAAAAACAGATATTTAAGAAGTAATAGAAACTCGGTTCTGTAAACGATTGTTAGAAATCATTACAACAGTGTATATGCATACCAAGGAAGGATAGGTCCGTGTCGGAAACATACAAAAATGGAAAAACAAGCAAAGCAAACCGAAGTAGTTCCCGGGGAATGGGAGAACACACAGAGCAACACATTGGTTCGAGATTTAAGAGGAAGGCTTCGACGAATTTCCGGTGTTGACTTTCACCGCAGTTTCATGGCGTAAGCTGTTTTCTCTGGAGTATGCTGACTTTGCACCCTGAAGATTTCAACAACATAGCGTAAAATATATATATATATATACTCAGTTTTATTTACTTTTTACTTCCCAAAGTTCGCACCTTTTAACCTTTTTTCATACCTTAAAAATTCGGATTTTTACTGGTGTTTCGAGCTTACACAGATTTGTTACCGTTGCGACGATCACATGGTAAAATACTGTTTCATTCAAGCAAGATGATCGAGTGATAAGTTCTATGAGAAACTTCTCCTAAAGATTCTTTTTTGTCACTTTTGAAAAATGGGTTTTCCTTAAAAGCTTCCGTCAGGTTGGAAACGAACCCTTTTCTTGCGGCTCACCTGAAAGATGGTTCCGAGCTTCTTCAGTCCCCTGGCCCGTGCTCGAAGAACGTCCTTTGAAACGCTCGGATCTTTAAGCACCTGAAACAAATATAACCAGATAATTTTGCTTTGAGTATTAGCTCTTCCCAACGGTTATTACATTGGATATCTGCAAGTTTGCATTTTTTGTAGTGTATAGGAAGCTTACTCCCTGGCAGACCCGAGACAAGGTCGACTCGATATCAAGCACGTTGATCTGCCAAAGTGATTGAAGAAACGCTTCCATTTTAGCTTCGATGGCTTTCTGAATGTGCTCCTCTCTGTTCTCTGCCTGGTGCTGGTTCAGCTTGTTCACCTCATCTTGTAACTGAATTAAAGAAACCGCACCTAGGGGATCATCATCGTCCAAAACAGGGCATGGAGGGAATTATGGCCAGCCAAACAAGAAGGAACAGAGAAACAAATGCTCGGTAAATCAGAGAGATCGACTTACCTGAAGCAGCCATCACTTGAGACTTTATCTGGTGGCCTTTGTGGCGTACCCACTCGGCTATAAAAGGTACTTTCATGTAACGTTTGTCCTTCCCCAGTTCCTTAGCAGCTTTTCTTGTGTAAATATAACCGATGGTATGCAGCATAGCCTCGCCAAAACCTAACAGTATGGAAAGTTGTGGAGACTTTTAGAAAATATTTTGCCTATTGCTAAAAATCCATACGTCTCATGTATTACAGGAAAATTTCAGAAGCCTGGTTACATTATTTTCCTTATAGCTGAATGTATCAATATCATATCACCGGAGTATAACTTGGGGGTGTGTGTGGAGTATTTTCCTCTATAAAATAGTAGAAATCTTGCCAAACTACATCATATTAATCGCACAAAAGGAGGACCATTTCATTCTCAAGAACAAGACTGCTTTCATGGAAGATAGGAGAGAGAATTACCGGCTGAAGAAAGACGATTTGCCTCCTCGTTTGCCCAGTTAACAAATTCATCAGTTTGTCCTTCCACAAAAGGTTCAAGCTTGTTTTTCAATGTAGTAACGAGCTTATCTTGTCTCTCCTTCTGAAGTGCCTGAAAATGGTTCCAAAATACATGCATAAGAATAAAACACTGGCGCATAGAAACCACTAGACAGAGATTCAGGACAAAGAACAGTACTTTAATTTTCTCCTGAAGCATCTGCTTTCTGATCTCAGGTTCATATGATTCTAAATCAGCCTCAATTGACGCTAAAGTAGCGAGCGCAAGTTGGCCAACGTAATCCTCAAAGAGTTCGCTGCCAAAGAGCATACCAAATACAGATGCAGGATCGACCATTGCATCCCTGAAAGAATGGAAGTGAATAGATAAGAAACAAATGAATAAACCCTCTAAATAAATGCACAAAACAATTCAACTACGGATATAAAACTACTTCCTAAGTTATCTCTAAGAGTTCATTAAATGAAGTTCCAGGATATGGTCTTCAAAGAAGACAGACAAAAAAGGTCTATATTGCAAAGTAAGATACCAGTGGTATGAGTTGAGCGAAGGTTTCAAGCTGGAAACTTTCTTCCATAAAAATGAAAGAGCCAGGTGAATGGAGTCAGTGTGTGTGGTAAAGAGGGCAAACTTACTGTACAACTCCTTCCTTGCCATATTTGTCATAAGCTGCTCGCTTCTCCGGATCACTCAGGACCTGATAGGCCTCACCCAGTACCTTCATTAACACGTAGAAAGGAAGAAAAAGTGAGTGAGAGAACGTTCAGGTGTCGAGTGAATCGACAGCAGTATACGATTAGAATGGGTTGGCTGTGAAGGTTGTTGAATGACTTAATACCGGAAGTAACTATCAGAATAGACAAAATCACAAACAAAGTTAATAGATTTTATTCTACCATAGAAAAAGTTAAAAAAAAAATTCACCCACCTGAAAGTTTTTAGCAGCTTGAGGATCGCCAGGGTTCTTGTCCGGATGGACTTGCCTTGCCTGAAAATGGCCCTCAATCAATTCCCACGTCATGTAAAGCAGAAAGCCATAAATCACAGAACCAGCACAAAGTTTACAGAAACAGAAAGAATTAATTAATATAACCCATCTTGTGCTTCTTACCACATTATACATTTTCAAAAACATATAACATCTGAAGCAATCTCTATGACGTTATATCAGTAAACTATTCAAACCCATTGGGCAGCAAAACAGATGCGAATAATCTCAAGGACCTCAGCGCTAGAGAATCTGATTGTATAGAAGAAAAACCTTACTTTAAAGTAATATGCCTTTTTTATCTCTGCGGCGGAAGCCTCAGTCTTGACGCCTAAGATATCGTAGTACTCGCTTTCTTTCACCATAGTTAGCTTTCCGGTGACCCTTTCCCCGATGCAAGGAAAATAAACGATTAACCTGCATAAAGCGCATGACTAGAAATCAATCCACCCGAAAAGATCTACGCAGGCAAATGATTTGATCGGAATCATATGCGCACAAAAGCAGAGACCAAACCATATACGGGCACGGAAACCAACAACACAGAGTAGAAGCCCACAATCATGGAAACTACAATCTTCGCACGATTTTTCCTCGGAAATTGATAACGAGATCGAACAAACCCAGACAGAAAATGGTGAAATCAGACACGAACTCAATTTGGAGAATCAAATTTGCGAGGCAACAAAATCAAAATCTGGAATCCCGAATCTAACAAATCAAGACAGAATCAGAGAAAGGGAGAAACCTGCTGATCGAAGAGGTAACGAGATGGCGAGAGGGAGAAGAGGAGACGGATCTCCAGTAGGAGAGCCGAGAGATTTGGAGGCAAGATATATAACAAGTGAAATGAAGATCGTATGAAGCTTCGTTATAAATTATAAATTTGTTTCTTAAAAAATTCGATAATATATGATAATATACGAGGAAATTCCGAGTGAGCCACGTGTCTACTCGGTCAATATACATTCGTTACTACAACTATATGCGATATAATATATGGGCCTAATTTTTGAAGCCCAATAAAAACACATATTGGGCCAAAATAAAATCGGAAAAGGAAAACTAAAAATAGATTGGGTTTCGTGTTTTTCTTTTTGGGTATGTTTTTTGAATGAGGCGTGCCTTTCGGTCTGGAATCCGGAAGTTGGATTTGGAGGTTTCTTATCAAAACACCTAGGATCCATATCATTATCTATGTGACATTTTGTATTTAATTGCATTTAATGGAGGTGCCTATTAAATTAATAGAGGTGCATATTAATTGCATTTAATGCTGAAGTGGTCTATTCGATCATTTGGTACTATAGGAGAATGTTAGACCCTTTAATTTAGTGTTTTCTTAGTATAATCGTAAATATAACTTGAATATTAAAAAAACAAAAGAGGTGAATTCATCTCATTCTATTGTAGGTATCCTTTTGTTTTAAAAAAGAGGTCTAACATGGAACGTTTGCAATTTATTATGTTTTTATAAACTTTGTTGCTATAATATAGTAATAGCTTAGATATATTATTTTGTCGAGGCCTGTGAAACACAGTTTCCTTAAGTTCGATTTCCGTGCCACCTCTAAAGCTTCGAGGCTATTGGAGCACGGTGAACTCCCAGGATACAACGACCGCGTATTTGGAAGAAGCTTTCCAAATACCAAGCGAACTCAGAGAGAGATATGAGCAAATATGTGAATGCTCTTTTTCTCTAGAATGCTTGTTTCTTTTCTGTGTGTTTTATGAGCTAACCCAAGACCACTATTTATAGTAGAGGGAAGAATCTCAAAACAAATCAATTTGAATTTCAAAATTCAAATTTGATTTTATTTTGATATTATCTCAATCTTATCTCAATCATATTTGATAGATTTTCTGCGGATTTGAATCCAATTTGAATTTGAATTTCAAATTCAAATAAGAATATTCTCTTAATATTCTGCAGATTTAAATTTATACGGACCGGGCTTCTCACGGGCTAGGCCCGTTTTGATTCTATCAAATAAACCCAAATCCAACAATATATACATATGTATGTGTGTGATTGTGTACATAATAGATATACATGTATATAATTTTATATATATTATGTATATGAATTTGTATATATGTTTTGTTTGTAAATAGAAATAAAAAGAGAATTTGATATTGTAAGAAATATCTATATCTTTAGTTACAATGAATCTTCCACATTTTATCATTTAGAAAATGACATTTGATCGAGTGACTGAAATTTTCCTAGACTGATTTAATCTGCGGAGAAAGTTGTCTACTCAAGACAAGAAAAGAATGGGCTTTCGACAGTACTGTGCAAATGTCCACCCTCTTTGTATTTGTTTACATGGTTGTACTACGTCGTAGGTTCTTAGCTACAAGAACTGCTGGAATACATGGTCTGGCTTTCATACCGAGAGAATAAGCACGGATAACTTTTTCTATAGTTTTAAATATGAATGTGTGAGCTTATCAACCATTTGTGTTTTTTCATTCCCTCATACTCTCATACATGTTTGTTTGGTGCATCGATAACATAAATATTTATTTTTTCCATACAAAATTTCTATTATGTACTTTTAGAATCCGTAAATATTAACAAAAATATCTATAACCATTATATCAAACTTACACTTCAAATCTTCATATTGCGTCTTATCTCTTTTAAGATTAGTTTTCAATCTTGAAATTATTTTTTTGCACTCTTAATTCAAATAATTCAACGTAAACCGATATGAACTTTGTATATGTTGTGTATAAAATAAAAATTACACGTTTCAAATGATTGCATGAATTTCTATTTTGAAAAAAAAAAAGTCATATTAAAATATTCTATACTAAAGATGGATGGTTTGATTTCATATTTTCATTTATCTTTTTATTTTATTATTTAAATTCATTTGGATTTTAGTTTTCAAAACTATGGCTTAGGCATTATGAATATGAAATTTGATCATTACCAAAAGACACACTTCGACGCATTTGACCGTGAACGGTATGAAATGGAAGCAGTACCATCGTTTCAAATATATCTTCTCTCCCTCCCATTTATTTCATTTTCCTTCCAAATGGTTGACCTCATGTCATATCTGGCATAGCTCTTTGTTTTCTTCACCTGTCAAACCATGGCGGCACGCCGTGAAATCAACCATATTTTGTTGGGTTATATACATAGAGATTCTTTTTCACCAAATCGGCAAAGACATAATAGCGGGAATTTATTAATCATCATTATTAAATTAATATATTTAATAATTATATATAGATTGGATTAGATTATCACTAATTATTAAACATGAAAAATGGATTAAAAAAAGGATGATCATATAGAATAAAAAGAATATTCTATAATTTTGTTGGGGTATTAGTTGTATATATTGAAAATAATATTAAAATCAAAAACAAAATTTTTAAACTTAAATTGAACTAATTATTAGACATGTAAAATATATTTTTTTTAAAAAAAGATGATCATATAGAATAAAAAGAATGCGAATAGATTATTATAGTTTTAACAAAAATTAATTTATTCTATAATTTTGTTGGGTATTAGTTGTATATATTGAAAATGATATTAAAATCAGAAACAAAACTTTTAATTTTAAATTGAATTAATTATTAGACATATAAAATAGATTTAAAAAAAAAGATGATTATATAGAATAAAAAAGAATGCGAATACATTACTATAGTTATAAAAATAGTTTAATTAATTATATATTTTTTGGGTATTAGTTGTATATAGTGACAATATATTCAAAGCATGGTACAAAGCTTTTGATTATAAAAAAAAACGGTTGTGTTTGAATAAATGGAAAAATTTAATGATAGCAAAACCAAAACATAATGACGTAAAAACGGTTTATTCTGTCGACGACGTGTTTGGTTATTTTTAAACGGCTTATTATTAATTTAATGACGTAATGATTTTTTTTTGTTAAATTTATAAATTTTTTTGTTAAAATCATAATGAATTTTAAAACCAAAACGTTTCATAATAAATTTTAAAACAAAAACGTTCCAATAGAATCCATTGATCCACTAATGATGACATTATTTAGTGAGTTAAAAATAAAATAAAAAACAATGGAATCACATGTTCTCTCTCTCAAATGAAGATGCTGTCAGCTTAGCGTCTCCCAGGGTTCCAAAAGGCAATATCATCTGCAAATTTTAAACAAAGTCCGGAGATTCAAGCGCTGTCGAGATTTGCCAGGGTTCTTCTCCAACGATCCTTCTCTTGAATGCCGGTAACAATTTCGATAGCCTCCACCACTGTCGCCGCCGAAGCTCTGCCGCGTTTCTCTCTACAGTTGCTTCCGCCAAGAAAACCATGGTGTCGACTTCTTCCTCCGCATCTGGTGGCGAGCTCACGCCGATAAAAGAAGTTGTAAACTTCGAGAAAGAGATTAAGAAGAGCAAGTTCATCGCCATCGCAGGTCCCATCTCCAACGGAATAGTCCGCTCTATCGTTCATCTCCAAGTTTCTTCTCCTTTTACATAAATGGTATTTTCGGATTTTTTGCCAGGTATCTCTGATCGAGTGTTTGACGGTGTGTCATTAGGTTCGTGATCCCTGCGCCTCGCACAATTGCTGGGCTTACAATTTCGGATTTTGGGTATTTCACTTGCTAATGAATGATGATGGGTCTGGTTTAGGTGGGCGATCACTATCGTTCTAGCGTCGATGGTGAGCCGTCAAGTACTGCATGAAAACCGATTCCCTCTACGATTGTGTCATGAGGATTAGAGAGAGTTATGGTTGTTGTCATTAGGTGCGAGTGAATGTTCATTCTCATTGTTTCATAACATATATATATATATATATATATATATATATATATATATATATGGATTTTTATGTGACTGAAAGTAGAAGCTGCTTGGGAATTGTGTTTCAGGTACTTTGGAGGCATTAAACTTGGCATGGGAGGTCTTATGCATTCAGTTCGCCTTGGCAACTGCAAAAAAGTTTTCATACAACCATTTCTTAACATATAGAGCAGTGGCAGAGTCACCGAAAATATTGGTGAACGGAAAGAGACGCAGAGCTGCTTGCCGTGGAGAGGATGATGTGCCAAACGAGGCCTTTGCTGATACGTGTGACATTTTAGTTTCAATTCTTTTAGTGTATATATGAATATAAATGTCATATATTTATGTGTATGTGATATTGGTGTGAATGCAGGAGAAATTAAGCGAGCCGGGGAAGAGGCGAGTAGGAAAATAGAGGAGATGAGATTAGAGGGTAAAGAAGAGGCTGGAAAGGCTTAAGAAACCAAAGATTCCATCGCAGAGAGGTACAAAAAATTGAATGTATATAAACCTATATATATATGTGTGTAGTAGTCTAATGATACATTTTAGGATTCATATAAAAGGTATAAAAGGAGGAGATGTGAGAAACAAAAAACTCTCTCTTCGCCGATACAATGCTCTGGCCATTCCGCTACTGGCGGAAAGAGGAAGAAGAAGTGGTAATTCCTCGAGCTTGTCCGATCTGGACAACAAGAATCATCAAGGTAGTTTTTTTTGTAATGAATCAGCAAGGTAGTTTACTCAATGAAGATTCTAAAATGTCTTCTTCGTATAATCGCATACATGTAACGAACCATAAAGCGGGCATTACAGGAGCCAAACCAAAAGAGACAGAGAAACAGTCCAGGGAACATAACTCCATGGACAAGGGAAGAGCTGCAGTGTTGGAGATGCCTTGTGTCTTTACCAAAGTGGAGGAGCCCAATGGGAGAAGGGTACAAGGGATTCTGTATAAGTACCTGAAAGGAAGAGGAGGAAATGAGGATAATTTGCATATGCCATGGCAGTTTCCTTTCCTCTGCCGAGTTTGTGAAACACACCGATCGAGAAGAAGTA